AGCCTATTTTTGCAACAACACTTGTCTTTGGTGTATTTGACTATATGGATAATAGTCAGAGAAGTAAATTTTGGGGTATTATATTAATAAATATTTTTTTAAAATTATTAATCAATTTATACCCGGATTCGGGTTCAATACGGGTCGAAATACCATATTTCTTATCCGACAGTGTGTTTGGATTATTAATTATTTGAGATATTTTTATTGTAGCACTTTTTGTAATGTGATGTATATGAGATAAAAAGTAATTGAGAAGATAGAAAGATGTATTAAAAATTGTAATGATGATGTAAGCAAATAAATTTGGATAAATAATTTCCTGTCCAAACACACTTATTTGTTTGACAAAACGGATTCGGATCCGAGTAACAGAATTATATTCCTACCCGCACTCAAAATTATTTGACGGATCGGATCCGAGCCCGGTCAAGACAACCCAGATCGTTGACAAGTCTACTGACACAAACCTCTTTAGATTTCTCCTCACTTCTTAAAAAAAAAAAAAAAAAAAACAGGCGAAGGCTTGCGCTTATTAAAACCAGGAATTTGGATAAATCGGGACCATCAAATATCACACGGCAGGGATAACTGGCACGGGAACAAGGATACAAGGACAGCTTACATTGTTGGAGCCCGCTTGCCGCTTCCACCTGTACCTAAGGTCCTTTTCCATAACTGTAACCCAACCCATCCAAACTGAAATTGGAACCACGCTACCTTGTTACCTTTCTAAGTCAAACTGGCAGAGGAGAAAGATCCTCACGGACGAAGAAATGGAAGGTGTGAAACTGGATCAGTGGGGTTATGAAGTGAAGACTAGTTCGGATGCCTGTATAGCTGCTATCAACTCTTATTATCATCAGGTCATTTGATTTTGTTTTTTTCCTATCTGGGTTTCTTACGTTCTTCTCCTGGCAATTTTACATAGTGGGTTTTGCATATGTTTTACTATGCCATATGTTTTATGCCATGATATGAAAGGTTGAACTGAATCTTTAGGTACTTAGCTATGGAAGAAGAAGGGATGTGATTTTGGAAGCTCCTAAAGCCGACCCGGATTGTGTTTTGGGAAATATTTTGGCAGCTAGTTTTCTCTGTTCCTTTGATCCTTCTAGAGTTCCTACTTTCCTTGATGCTGCAAATTCTTGTCTAGTATGACATTCCTTAATTTATTTACTCTTTTATTTCTTTTCATCTTTCTTGATTTTTCGTCAAAATTTGCATAGTTGTTGTTGATAATGTCGTAGGACAATGCTAGTGGATACGAGAAAGCAGTTTTTGATGCTGTTAGTTATTTCATTTCGCCAGATAGAGATGATGATGTTGCTGTTGATTTACATTCTACGGTACACTCCTTTTTCCTCACTCAGGTTCATTTTTTCTTTTTAAGGCCTGGTTTCAGTATGATTGGTTGCAAATTATTGACGCAGGCCGTTGTAATTGTTCCTGTAAACGTAACTATTGAGCTAATGGGACTTTGCTTTTGAGTTTTTCATGAATGGACAATTCCTCTCCTAAGGGTGATTTTTGACATGCTAAATTTTGCAAGGAGATATTTGACTAAACTAAAGAGATGCTCTGCAACTTTTTGCTTGCATAATTTAGATCAGAAAGAATAAATCCAAATAATCAAATGTTATGGAGTTCTCTTTATGTGGTGGTTACTTAGGAAGCTTATTTACCAGTTGGAAATGTTATTTGCTCTACTTGAAACTGCAGTTTCTATGATTTGAAGTGGTTTCCATCTTTTCTCTGCCCGTACCTGTTCCAAAATGGAATGGTTTTTTAAAGTTATGTTCGTGTAGTTAAATCACATGTCTTACATATTTTTATTGCTTGAATGGCTGTGCTGTAATGCGTTTGTAAGAATCCATTCTGTACATAAAGAAGCAACGTTGTACAGGATGAAGGCTTCATCAATTAAGCTTTACCTTTGATCAATTTAATATCTGGTATCTGTGTGAGAATATAGCACGTTTGGTAAATACAGTCGATGTTGTTTTGCAGTTTTTGAAAGATTATCCAAGAGATCTAGTATCTCTGACGAGGGCACAGGTGCTGTGCTTCTATATGGGTCGACCTGATCTATCTCTGCAACTTGTTCAACAGGTTGTGCCCAATCAGCTTCTCTATTTTCTTTTACCAATGATAGTCATCAAGAATACCTTATCAACTTTGTACATAGAAATTATCACACACGTTTGAAAACATTGTTGCCAAACTCGGGAAACATGGAAGGGTGATTGAATATTTTGTAATGTCCATGTTTTGATTGAAACTTATCTCTTGTATGGTTAACAGGTTCTATCAAAAAATGAAAAAGCAAATTTCATTTATGGCATGCTTGCTTTCCCTCTGCTAGAGCTTGGTCGAATGGTAGATGCTGAGAAAGCTGCTAAAGAGGGATTTGAAATCAACAAGGAGGATCCTTGGACTCAACATGCTGTAAATAAAATATAATACATCTTTCTCTTTTCAGTCTTTCGCATGCATCAATGAGAAATCTGCCACCTTTAACATCTTGAATCTTCATATTCTATTTCCATTAATAATAAATTTTTTAATGAGTATCATTTTAACATCGTTGGCCTATTTTGTATTGCCAATCTTCATTAAACAGAAAGTTCCAATTTTCTGTCAGCTCCTTCCTGGTAAACCCCCATCTTTCCATTATGCTTTGATCATAACTATTTCTAATTTTTGTTAATCATATGATTATTGACTCAGATTTTAGTGCTCTTGCTGAATTGGGAAAGAATAAAAAATATACTGGTTTGTAGGCTAATGTAATTTTAAAACTCTATAACTAATAGCTTATTCAAGTGACGTAGTATTTTGCTTGAAGTTTGCTTTGTTGACATCAGACTTGACTAGTCCTTTAATATGGACTTTGTTGCAGCTCTGCCATGTTTATCAATATGAATGTCATTTCAAGGAAGCAGTGATATTCATGGAAGAATGTTCACAATCATGGAGTCCTTTGTCATCGTTTATGTAAGTATGATATGACAGAATCCTCAACTTCATTGCTACAATTCTTTAGATGGCTGAAGAAGGTTGTTTGTCAGGCACACTCACAATTGGTGGCATGTTGCTCTTTGTTACTTGGAAGGTAATTCCCCAATTGACAAGGTAGCAGAGGTCTATGATGAATGTATTTGGAAAGAATTGGAAAGAAGTGATGCCAGTCCAGTCGAGGTATGTTGAATGTATTTTCCTCCCCAAGCCTCTTCAATGTTTCCCAGATTCTAACTCTGATTTCATGCATGCAGGTCTACCTTAATGCTGTCAGTTTATTGTTGCGGATATATGTAAGAGGTTATATAAAAGTCTTTGAAGATCGTCTGAAGGTCTTAGCAAAATGTCTGACTAATAAAGTAAGGAAAAGTTTTCTGTAATCAATTTTCTTTTTGACTTGTGATTAAGTGCTTTTTTTTGCCCTCCTCAAATTCATGGGTGTTCAATATTTCGTTGTCAGTTATCCATCTTTATTTGCTTAATTTATCATCTCAGTTGTTAACTTAATTCATTTTGTCTGTTTCTCCTCTACTTAAATACACATGTTAACCTTCGAGTGGTTTGAACAACGTGTTATGATGTACTCCTGCGATTTATTTAGGCCTTCTGGTGTCTCGAGTGGCACTTTGATGTGTTGATAGTGTGGGCTTTAGCTTATACTGGAGAGATTTCTAAAGCAGAAGATCTTTTAACAGGATTGAAATCCAGGTTTAGGGTTTCCTCTGATGATTTCTTGCATATAGTTTGTCAATCACATCACTGCAACATCATTTGTTGCTTCTATTCTGCAGGCTCTCTCAGATGTCAAAGAAGAAGCAACAGCGGATGCAAAAAGGGATGCTGGTTTGTTCCCATTTCCTCCTCCATTTCACTCTCCGATTTGCTATGGTGTTTTTTATGTACATGCATTTGGAATCATGTACTTTTTGTCATATTCCTCTTTCAACTTTCATTTGTGATTTAATTCTCCTACTCTAGCTTGCAGAAGCACTTTACAAGTATGGGAAGGGTGAAAACGAAAAGGCCCTAGAATTGCTTGGACTTCAATTTGATGCAATTGACTGTAAGGTAATGTGGAGAGGGGGAGCCATTTGGGCTTAGCTTCATCTCTATGTACTTACAAAAACTTATTTATGATTAGGCTATTGGAGCATCAGATGAACAACTTGATGTTTTCAACGAAATTTGGATCATCTTGTTGATCAATGGAGGAGAAACTACCAGAGGTATGCCAATTTCTGACTGATCAATGTTTGTGGTGCCTCATTTCTTTAATTAGTGTTGTCAATTGCAGCAACTGAAGCAATTGAGAAGCAGTTAAAGAAGAGAGAAGGAGCCCCATTCTTGTGGCGCCTCTTGGTACGCCTCTGTTCACCACTTAAACCATCCGCTTGAGCAAAATTTTACCGAGTTGTGAGTATTCTCAATTCAATACACACACCGATCTTACTGTCTTTTTGGTGTTGCCTTGTTTTTCCAGGAAAAATGTTACCATACATTAGGAAGGCCAGAAGCTGCAAACGTTGGAGAGAGAGCCAGTGCATTAGCGGTCGCGTACTTCACATAGATGGTTTAGATGGACGTACATCCTTAAATGCTTAGCATTGGCTGTTGAATATTTTACTTGTAAGTCCCGCATTTCTGTACCCTAATGATCTCCTAGTCATTCAAGTAAATGCTGCACGTTAAACAAAGTCATGAACATTTACGGGCATTCGCCGGACCTAAACTGCTATATTTGAGTATTTGTTGTTGGTATATTGGTTTACTAGTAGACAAGCAATCATTCAAACGACTCAGTAGCTTCAAACTGAAATGGAAGTGGAAGTGAAGCACGTGAAAAACTCGGGATATGATCCAAACTGGGTGAATATTTGGGTAGCCAAGTCCTTCTGAAGGGAAAAAAATGGAACACCAGTTAGCTTGTGGCTGTCACTGTGAGCAGGTAAATATGAAAAGTCACCAGGAGAGGGAGCATAAGCCAAATAGCACTAATCTGAAGGTAAAATTTTCTTACCGAAGCAAAGGAAGTAATTTAATCTATTAACAATAATATCTTTACCAATACCAAACAAAACGTCTGCCTACTTTTCTAGTCAGATATCCTCCCGTGCACGTACAAATACAATTTGATCAATCTCTCAACTCCACAATAGTCATAGCTCACGTGTCTTGTTTTAGCTCGTTAATCCAATACTATCTGGAACAACAACATTACTGGAGTTGGACGATCTGAAAACCCCAGCACCACCGCCAGCAACCACACGGGGGCGGCCCCTAATTCGCCTCAGTTCCGCCACCACTTCCCTAGCATCAGGCCTGTCATCCTTATCTGCTGCCACACATCGAAAAGCCAGCTCCGCAACAGCACCAACACCCTCCATTGCCTCAGCATCTACGACCAAATCAGGGTCCACAACCTGATGCAACACTCCCATTTGTATCCTTGACACGACCAAATCAGCCAGTGCCATTTCCCTCTTTTCCCTCCTCTGGTCCACGGCCCTCATCCCAGTTATTAACTCCAACAACACTACTCCAAAGCTATATATATCACTCTTCTCATTCAACAAAAAGGACCTATGATAATCAGGATCCAAGTATCCTGGTGTACCTTGTGGACCAGTCCAAACACCCCCCGAAGAATTATCCCTCTCCGTCGTGGTTTCTGAGCAAATCAGTAGCCTTGATAGCCCAAAATCACCAACTTTGACTCTCATATCCTTCTCTACAAAAATGTTTGATGAGGTAACGTCTCTATGAACAATTGGTGGCACTAATGAGAAATGCAAATATTCGATGGCCATTGCAGTTTGTAGCGCGATATCAACTCTTAGATTCCATGGTAACGTGCCCTTTGCATATAAATCCGTCGCTCCATGGAGATGGTCCGCGAGACTACCATTTGGTACATATTCATACACTAAAAGCAACCCTCTCGGATCGCTACAATAGCCGTGAAGCTTAACTAAATTGGGATGGTTGAGTGAAGATAAGATCAAGATCTCATTGCAAAATGACTTTGTCGAAAATGCTTTTTCCCCAGCTGCTCTGCCTGAATTGTGCTTGTGAAGATGCTTTACTGCCACTCTCCGGCCATCGTTAAGCTGGCCCAAATAGACAGAACCAAATCCTCCGTCGCCAATTTTGCGTTTTGGGTCGAAATGATTTGTGGAAGACTCGAGCTCCTCATAAGTAAACACTGGTGGAAGGAGACTAGCTGAGCGGTGTCTCCGAAGGAAGACAATAGTGGGATCTTCTTCTGAGGCCAATCCTTTTTGCCTAGACCGGAAAATAACAGTACCAACAAAAAATATGATCAAGAAACACATAAACAACAAAAGAATGCACAGGATTGCAATCCTGTTGGCCCCTTTTTCACGAATTTGTGCAGCTGGGGATTTGAAACAGAGGAATGGCATTCCAGGGTCCGAAGAATTGAACCCACAAAAGCCATTTTTAGCCCTGCAGGTTTTGCAGCTCGTAAAGTAGCTATCTTGGTCTTCATCCCACTCAACTTCAACTCCAAGTTTCAAGAAATTGTCAAGAAATCCCAGAACATCACCTCGGCATCCCTGTTGAGAGTCTTCTTGGTGTTCTGATCTACATTCAGGAAGAAGGTTTACGGGGTTCTTGATAAGTTTGCATTCCCAAGAACAATGGCTGCAGTTTGGAAGGTTTGGAGGTGGACAAGGTTTGACGACTGAAAGTCTAGAGCAATACGAGTCAGATAACCGAAATGGGGTGCCAACAAGGGAGATTGGTTTGCTGGGGATGGAAAACAGAGTATGCTGAACAGAGCAATTTTGTTTGGAGTGTGAAGATGGCGGCGGAACTGTTGCAGGGGAGAGGACGAGAGAAGGGGAGTTGGGCTCATAGTGGAGGAGGGAAAAGGTGAGGTTATTGATGGAAATGATGGCATGTGGAAGTGAGCATTTGACTTGGAAGGATGGATGACCACAGCCAGGATGCGAGGAGAAAGGAAAAGACGGGGCGTAAGTGAAAGGTGGACATGAATATTTGGCTGTTTCGGAGGGAAGTTCTGAGCAAATATGAGCTGCTGTCGAGGAGGGCAGGCGGAGGAGGAAGAGCAGAAAGAGAGAGATAGTGGTGGCGGCGGCCGAACGGGGTTGCAGAGAGAGTGGCTTTGGTGGTTTTAATGGTGGCGCGGGTGACATTGTGGAGCCCAACTGCGAAGCACAGTCATGAATGAGGAGAGGAAGATCTAAATCTTGATCTAGTTTTGGCCTTTTGGGTTGACTGCATAGGTAGTTTGTGGTGGCACCACCGATGTGAGAACAAGAAGAGAAGTGGGGAGGTCTCGAGGAAGGGAAGAGAGAGGAGTCGAGTGTCCTGAGTCACGTGAAGAGAATGGGGTGAAGACAAAACCCCAAAAGGAATGGTCACTAGCTAAGGAGACCAAAACCGTGAAAATTTGGCCAAAGTTGAAAATTTAACCTTTTCGCTTGTATTCTATTCTATTCTACGTGGAAGGAATCACAAATATGATAATAAAATGCTTCTTTGCGAGATTGTGCGCTTCACTTTGGAATGTACAATGGCTCAATAGGGGCAGAGAAGGATGAAGATGGGAGTGAAGCGACAGTTCTTTCATCACTCTATCTATTCAGATACTACTACTGTTCTTTCTGGTCATAAAGATCTAGTAGTAACAATTCCGTTGTGAGTAAATTCATCTGACTGAAAAAGCAAGAGCCTTTTAACTAGAGCATTATATTCCAGCAACAGTAGTGATCATTTCTACAGAAAACTGCTTAATCTGACAATAATATCTGTATCTGAAATCCGTATGATGTATTCAAGAATTAGCAGTAGTGTGTTCAAATCCTAGTTTTCTGCCCATCCAAGAAGACAAAAGCATAAAAGAAAACTACTCTTGTGAGCTCAAAGCATCAGCGTTAAGCAGACTATGCATCATTCATCATTTCGAATTTGGGTAAGATACAGATTACAGAGATTTGGACCTTGCATTAGCTTTGGAGCAGAGTCAGCAGACACATACTAATACTACTATGAAGCCATTTTGCTCAGTGGGATGTGCAAGGATGCAAATTTTCAACTCCACCAATCTAAAAGGCACTGGGGAGTGCGGAATGGTTGGGCACTGTGGTGAAAGACTTGCAAGCAAGAGTGGTGATTGTTTCATTATGTTATGAGAGCGACGGCTTGGTGTGAATAACTTTTCAGCCATATGATGATGGGATGAACATCTCTGTCACATAGATGGTTCATTCTCAGTGGCCATTTACATCTTAATTCCACAAGCTTTGGTCAGCAAATGGTTGGGTTTTCCATGCTGTAGCCGGGCCATTTCCCATTTCGTTTTCCACCCTTTTTCTCCCGAGGCAGCAGAGCTATATAATAATAATAATAATATCTGCAAAATTGCTTTCAAGAAGCTTATTAGATCAATTTTGAAGAAGCTGTCTTCGGCTTCCTTCTTTTTTTTCTTTTCTTCTTTATTTATTTTTTTTTTTCGAAACACTTTTCAGGGCTTCAGAAATGCTGGATTGAGTGAAATTTTCGGCTTGTGCTCTTCTCAAATCTCGAGGATAACGTGGAATCTTAAAGTGAGATTATCAAAATTTTATTTAGGAAAAAAAACATCGGTATCAGTTTGAAGCCTAGAATGTTGAAATCATCTTTTTCCCATTTATCTCTGTTATCTCAGTAGTCATATAATCAACCTTTTCCCATTTGCCTCTGTGGCTCTCTGTTTGTTTTATCACACTCCAATCTCAGGCTGCGTACTAAATCAAGAAAAATCACTTAACTGTTCCATCACTTTCACATAGAGCTGTTAAACGAACCGAGCTGTTCGTTAGCTCGCTTCGTTTTGGCTCGTTCGTGTTCGTTAAAGGCTCGTTCGAAAGCCTTAAACGAACGAACACGAACGAATTTTTGTGTTCGTTTAATAATCGAGCGAACACGAACATGTTCGCGAATTTTAACGAGCGTTCGCGAACAAGGACATAATTGTTATTTGACAAATTTTAGGGTTACTCATAAGAAATTCTAAAACTTTCCCCTTCCCTTTCCAACCTTACTTTTGTTTTCCTTCCCCATTGGCTACTGCCGAAAATTTGTACTTGTCTTATGGCTGAATTTTTATATTTGAAGGACAAATTACTTTGTTTTATTTGTTGTTTTTATGTTAATGTTGGTTATGCAGTTATTGAATAATGGAATTTAGTCATTTAGTATTTAATTATTTTTTAGGATGATTAATGATTTGTGTGGCATATTTAAGGTCTAGAATAATCTGGATTCGAACTTTTCGAGCGTGTTCGCGAACGGCTCGTTTATGTTAAACGAGTCGAACACAAACACGAACACGAACACGAACTTTACTTAACGAGTCGAACACGAACACAGATTTAGAGTTCGAAAGTTAACGAACGAACACGAACGGAGTTCGAATCGCTTAACGAACAGAGCTCAAACATGAGATACTCGATTCATTTCGGTTCGTTTACAGCTCTACTTTCACACTCTTTAGAATCCGATGAAATCAAATTTAAAAAAAAAAAAAAAGATTGACGGCACTTAGGGCTGCCTCTCGTTTGTACTTTTAGCAACTCGTATATTTCCATTCAAATTAGTGTATGACACATGTTCATTAATCATTTTTTTGGCACTTATCACTCCTTAATATAAAATGACTCGTGTTTGTTGATAAAAATATACATTAAATATGGACGTATTAGTAAATTAATAAATTAACTATCCTTTTGAATGAAAAATATGTTTATCTTTATTAAATGGACAGAGTAAGAAACATCAACAATCACTGCTAATACACCTGGCGGCGCTTTTACATCAAAAACATGTTTGTTTTTCAATAACTTCTTTTTTTTTATATTTTTAATTATCTTTCTATCTCACATATATCACATCATAATAATAAGTGCTACAATAATTAATCTTAAATAATATTTCCAACATCATTCTGTATCCCATTATTACTCAATGGTATTATGTTCATCATCTCATAGTATTTGTTATCAACATCCTAAGGTTGTGTTTGGATTGCATTTTCCGTCATTTTTTATGAAAAAATTACTGTAGCGATTTGATATATGTGAGGGCAAAATGTGATAGGGAAATGTGATTACGGAAAATAACAATATTTTTCGACGGAAACAAGCAATCCAAGCAAGGCCTAAGTTCACTTAGACGGGCCACACGCACATATAGCGGTGAGCGTGGGAGTTGAACTAATTTAGCAATTTTCATGTTTGTTAATTAGAGCTAATTGGCTGATTGCACTATTTAATTAAGATTAAGATACAATAATGCGAATGGTGGTTGCAAACATCGAAACCCGCTCTTGGCGCCTGGGAAAATCAGTAGTGTGAATTGCGTGCAATTTGGCAACAAACAATACGCATCATCAAGCATCCAATTCAATAGTCTGAACGCTACGACTCTCATTTGTTGAATTGTGGGCTCCTTCTAGAAAATTAGAATGCGTTCCAGAAATCTCAGCGTTCGACTGGGTCTCACGCGCATTATTTGCCCGTATTATTGCCTGGGCCTCAAGTTTCCAGCGCTCACCCACCAGGGCCGCAGAAGCAACAATATATATATATATATATCATTTTTATTTTTTAATAAAAAATATGGGTGAATTTGATTCTAATTGCCATCCATCACGGATTAGGACATGATTCTTTATTAATGGAGTCAACTTGAATTATCTTTTGTACTCTCTCCGTCCCACTTTGATAGTGCTGTTTGTTTCTTTTTTCGTCTATCCTAAATTGTCGTCCATTTTTCAATTGAACAATATAGTTATTTTTTAATTTCTCTAAAATACCCTTATTCAATGTAGGTTATTACTAGGATAAACTATCCTATTTAATGTAGATTGTTTCTTAACCATCAATTCAAGTTCTCATAAACCATTAATTTAAGTTTCTATGAATAATTAATATAAAATTGTACTCTATTTAATGTAATCGTATTTTAGGAAAATATCAATCTAAATTTATTTTTTTCAATAAAGTAGATTATTTTTTCTTAAATTGTGTGAAAAAAAAATTAAGATTATCAAAATGGATGAGAAAGAAGGAGTATCATTCATTATTTGATACCTACTCTGAGGCACTTGGGCCTTTTAAATGCAATTGCTCCAAAATGTCCTTTGCATTCATCATTAGTCTAGGAGGTTCAGTGCCTTATTCGTCGAGCAATCAATTCACAGCGGACTCTAGCCAGAAAAAGCATCAAGGAGATTTGCAATTTAGGAGCCCGTTTCTCCGTTAATTACTTTGACAAACTAACAATTACTACTGGAGAAAATATCCGCCTCACTCAGATTCTATCATCCTGATTTAATTAGCGAAGAAAATAAATGATTTGTTAATGCGGGGATAGCCAACCTTATTTGATTACAAGTCTAGAGATATTATACGAGGTCTATGAATTTATGAGAAGGATTATGCTATCTTCATTACCACGAAAAGCCATGAGAAAGCAATTAGACTCGTGTGCAGTGTTGTTGTTTTTTTTTTTTTTTTGTATATATCCCAAACTTTATAAAGAGAGAGGGGAAGGAGAGAGTTTGATAATCAAATCATAAATCTTATAATCAATTGACTAATATTCCTATTAATCAAAATGAGTCTTGGAAGGGACATGTGGAGCCTACTTGTATCTTCAACTGCTATTACGCTTCATGCTATAGACTGTAACCTAGGACGGCAAGGGGACAAGTGCTCGCGGGGTAGGCCTGGGTCAGGGCGGGGGTACGGGGAGAAAATTTCCCCCGGCTTGAAATGGGCCGGGGGTGAGGTAACAGACATCCGCTCCATTTCCCGTCCCTTCCCCGCATATGAAAAAAAAAAATGTATATATGTTTAAATTTATAAATATATATACATAATATAATAATTTAGTTATAATTCAATTTTTTATATTTAATAATATAATTAATAACGTAATTGAGATCATGTAAGGAGATCAACCGACTTTTACAACGTTTTCTTTAGTTTAGAAATTGAGTAATCAATCTAGTGGAAACCAAATCCATCACGTAAATGGCCAATCCATGTGAGTTTAGCCAAAGGAGGGGAATGGTAACTAATATGAATTTATTTGCTATCTAATTATTGGGGTTTGGAGCATATATTGTGAAAGATACAGCTGATGAGCTGTGCTTACCAACAAACAAAGTCTTATATATTTTATTATTTTCAAAGTCTTATATAATAAAGTTGTATTTTCCGTTAAAATTTTCAATCAATAAAGAGCAACTAGTGTTTTTACCTACAAAGATGGAAAAAAAAGTCCCCTTTTTCAAATATAACACTAACTTGATAACATGTATCCTAATGATGATCGGAGTTAAATTCATCTATACTTCTCCTTCAAAAAATATTCCTCAATGATATTAAGTTTGTTTGGATAGTGTATTATTTGAAATATTATTTGGAATAATTACTGTAGCACTTTTTGTGATGTGATGTATGTGAGATAAAAAGGTGGTTGGGAATATAAAAAGATGTGTTGGAAAATGTATATATGATACAAGCGAAATATTATTTGGGATAATTGGGGTATCCAAACACACTCATTATTATTTGATTATGATTTATCATAAAAAATTTTTAAAAAAATACTAATACGATTATATATACATGTCACCCACACCCCAAAAAAAAAAAAAAAAGAAATCCACCTGCAGCCATAAATGAATTTACTCGCAGGATACATCTCGTATCAAAACAAAAAGACTTTTAAGACCTCGCACGCTTATTAGGGCGTGATCTTTGAGATTAGACGATGATGCCACCTCGAAATTTCCTTGTCAACTCCTAAATCTTCTTGGTCCTTCTTCCACCATGGATTTTTCTTTTTTTTCCTGGTAAAGCCAAGGAAATCCTTTCACTAATCACACCTCCAATAATTTCATTCACACCTTTTCCCAACCTTACGTATTAAGCTACTACAAAAATATATGACTATAAAATAGAGTACCATACTAGTATCTATCTATATATATATACTAAATTATTTTCTTAGCCTATTTCTTCATCACCAGTACTTTGGCAAGGGTACAAATACCATCCGACAAAGCCCTCTTTTCCACCAGTCTAATAGTACTTGGTTAATTAAAACCATCTTCAACTTCTCACCATCACTATATAGCAACACGCTTTAAGCTTCTGGTTCTTTGGAAAATTTTCTCATGGTCATGGAGTTCTTTCATAACACGAAAGCTGTTAGACTCAGAAGTCATCTGGACAAATATTTAGTGGCGGATGATGATCAAGAAAGCACAAGACAGAGCCGGAACGGTGGCTCGAAAA